TTTTGTGCATTGTCCTGTGGAGATTGTTTATGATTCGAATATCCTTTTCCAAAGGATTTCTTTTCATTAGCACCAAATACGTTGTGTGTTTCATTGTAGGTGAAGTGCCTATGTCTGGTGAAACACACGGGAGCTATATGTCCTACCCTATTGCAATAGTGGCATACTACGTTTGGGTTGAACATGTGCCTAGGTTGATGATAGTTGCTAGGGGGCCTAACCATATTCATCCTATTTTGAGAAAATATTGGTTTTTGAAAATTCTCTCTTTTAGGTGTCCTAGCATTATTTTGTCTATTTGAAAAGTCATTTCTGTGCATAAAATCATTTTGATAATTCCTCCTAGGTTGCCTAGAATGCTCATGTTCATGATTAACCTTTTGTCTAGGTTGTCTATTATTTTTTATTTTTTTTTCTTAGGTTGAGCTCTAGGTGATTTATGGTTGTACTCAACTTTTTCTTTATTTTTAGGTTCATCTATTTTCCCAAAGCCTATTCCTTGTTTAGTGTATTGCATAGAATCAAAAACGAGATTAAGATTTTTATGTGGTTTATTAAATTTCTTCACCGTGTTTTCTAACTCAGCAACTTGTTCTTTCAAAGCTATGCAAGAGTCACAATTTCTCGTAGAGCTATCGGGTTTATCGACGCTTCTTTTACCATAAAATTTATTTTCCTCTTTTAGTTTTTCGTTCTCCTTTTGAAGTTTTTCAAGTTCGGTTTCAAGATTGGAAAAACGTTTCTTTAAAACTTTGTTGATTTTAGAAGCGCTAACGAACTCGTCATAAAGATCTTGGAGAGCTTCTTGCATTTCTTCAGAAGAATAAGAGACGGTAGAAGAAATACATACCTCTTGGTTTTCGTTGTTGGCGGACTCTTCTTCTTGGGCTATGAGACAAAGATTTGCTTCTTCGTCTTCCTCTTGCTCGCTTGACTCATCACCGGAGTCGCCTCCCCAAGAGATGTATGCTCGTTGCTTCATAAGCCCACGTTTGTCCTTGGCGTTCTTGGCTTTCGGACATCTCGGTTTGATATGACCGATCTCGCCACATCCATAGCACTTTGGGGAATCGTCGTGCTTCTTTTCTTTGCGCTCGTGCTCTTTCTTCATAAATTTGTGGAATTTTTTGATGATGAGGTGAAGCTCGTTGTCTTTATCACTTGATTCCTCTTCAACCGTTTCCTTGGTTGCTTTGAGTGCTATCCCCTTCTTTTTTTGTTCATCCAAAGACGGGGTTAGAATAGTAGATTCATAAGTTTTGAGGTTACCTCTTAGCCCGTCGATGGTGACGTATGAGACTCCAATGGATTCATAGATGGCATCGGCCTTTGATCTCCATTCGGGAGTGAGACTACGCAGGATTTTCCTCACGAGGTCCTTGTTGGCATAAGTCTTCTTGAGGGCGTGAAGATCATTGATGATCTTCGAGAAGCGATCGAACATGTCGTCGATCTTCTCGCCTTCCTTCATCCTAAACATCTCGTACTCCTGCGTAAGGAAATCAATTTTGGCTTCCCGAACTTGGTCCGTACCTTCGTATGTAACTTCGAGCTTATCCCACATCTCTTTGGCAGTTGTGCAGCAAGAGATCTTGCGGTAATCGTCGGGGTTGACCGCGCAGTAAAGCATGTTGATTGCCTTTGCGTAATTCTCGACCTTTTTGATGTCCTCGGCATCAAACTCGTCTTCGGTCTTGGGGATCAACTTGTCTCCGACTTTCTTCATCGGCACCTCTTCCCCGTTTTTGATAACCAACCATAATTGGAAGTTTGTGGAACGAATATAGATTCTCATTCGTTCTTTCCAATATGTATAATTGGTTCCATCAAAAAGAGGTGGCCGTGTGGTTGATTGCCCTTCACCTATTCCTGCATACAAATTTCTAGAAGAAGAACCCATGATCGCTTT